GCTGGGGAATTCTGGGAGTTGAAGTCCACACATCTTCAAGCTGCCAAGGTTGAGAAACACTCTGCTAGTGGACGAGCCGTTCTTGATCTTTTCCAGCCTTCCTCAACCTGGAGCCTTCCAAAGTTTTGGAACGACACCTCCCAGGGTTCCTAGCAGCATGATCACCCTCGACAGATCTTTATCAGCCTCACCTGCTGATTCTTCCTCCTTATGTCTGGGTCTTTCCCTCTTTATATGCTTCCTTACCCTCCATTCCTTTTTTTTCCTTCTTAAGTCTCCCAGCTTCCTTGGTTTATCTTGCCCTGCTTGAATTTCAAGCATTGCTATGAACTCAGAGAAGCCCAGCCGCTGGTGTGCAAGGCAGGTGGCTTTATCACAGAGGCTTTATCACTGATGAAGGACAGGTCGGTCATCTTGCCAATGCTCTGCTCAGTATTAGAAATCAGAGCTTTGGCTCCCAAGTAGGAGACTGCCTGGCCATGGATTCTCTGCACCATAAATGTTCTTCCTGCTCTGAAGTCTTCACGGCTTTGTGCTCCTGTAGCATTGCTCTGCATGATCTGTGTCTTCAAACATCATTTGTCTGTAGTGCTAGACCAAGAGGACTTGTGGCTTGAACTTCTCTTGGTCTTCAGTGTGCCAAGAAGCAAAAACACTGTGAAACAGCAGCCTCCTTCTTCATGGTTTAAGTGTGACTGTGTCCAAGTCCCTCTAGGGCAGAAGGACAGATCTTTTGAGATGCCATTCTGGACTCTGAACCGGTCCAAGATGCAAAGGGTGGGTCCTTCTCATTCTCCAAGTGCAGGAAGGGAGCAGCTGGGAGGCAGGTTCTATAACAGACCGCCATTGCCACAGACCAGGATTGCAAACCAGGATTGCCAAGGCAGGAAACAGTTTGTGGCAAGAGGATGGCAGTGATAAAATGGAATGGGAGAAAGAGGAGAAGCAGAACCCTTTACCTTCTCCCCTTCCCCCCCACAAACAGAGGAGAGGAGAATGAAAGAGCAGCAGCTGGATGGGACGGTGCTCCCTGTGGGCTCCATTGAGGACTGGCTGGAGAAGCATGCCAAGCGGCTGGGCGCAGCACAGAGGGACAGGTATGTGCTCTCTGTCATCTCCAAAGGGAGTGGGGAGTTGGCGACCTTTGAGGTAGGCCAGCTCCAAAAACAGACACCACAAGAAGTACTGGAGCTCGTCTATATTGTTGGAGGGTACAATAACAGGATCTTGATCGCCTGCTAGAATTTCTCTCCCACCCATCTTATACCCAACAGAAGCAAGGTGGGGTTACTTTGAGTCTCTTTCTCACCCTCTCTGCTTACGGTGTTATCATTTCTCCTCCCTTAACGTTCCTCCGCCTTCTCCAAGGTCATCTAAGGCCTAATTGGCCTGGGAAGAAACATGGCGATCAGGATCCTGAGCAGAACCAGGGCAGTGTTGGTCCAGCTTGCCCCTTGCAAAAACTGGTTAGCACTTTTTAAACAGGACCCGAGGAAACTGCTTTGGACAAGGGTACATTTATTTCTGCATCCCATTTTTTTTTCCTCTGCCTGGCAGAAGGTCCTCAAGCCACATGTGACCCACAGGACCCCTTTTGCAGCTCCAGAACACCTCAGAATGAGTGGAGCTAAAATTTTCAGTCTGTTTGTTGTGGGGGGGAGGCATTTTAAGAGGCGAAATGAGGAGCTTAAACTCCGCAGAATCATACGAGACCTGAATGATTCTTTGAGCAGATAAGAGCATTACACCAAGGATGTCTTGCAAAATGTCACCAAATGCATAACTCATCTTAAATAAAATGAAAAACCCCTTACATAAAAAGCTGTCTGTCTTATATCCAATTAAACTGCTCACCTGCTTCATCTAGAACTAAGTTCACATGTTATCCTTAGTCATAACTTAGGGTTTTTTTTATTTTGGCTTTACGTAAGAGTGAGCCCAGCTTCTAAGGCTTTAGAGGCTGATTTTTTCCCTGTTCACAGGATAAACCCTAGTTTATAAAACCCAGTTTGTAAAGCCTTTATCAGCTGAGAGCTGCAGAGGAATGGAATTGTGACACCAGAAGAGGAACATTCTGTGGTTTTAAAATACTGCATTGGGGAGGCCATTAAAAGAGGTAGGTTATAACAGCTTGCAGAATGTTTCAAACTCAAAATGCTCCATTTTGACTTTGAAAATGCTTTGTTCCAAATTTGAAGCAGCTGTTTCAGCCTCACCAGGCGGGTTTCGAGGCATCAAAGCGCTTCTGGAATAGACCGGAAGATACCAGGACACTTCCAGTGAGATCAGAACAGCTGTCTCAAACCCAACGTTTGGCCTAAAAACCAGATCTAGGCTGTTACTTGTTTAAACATGTTATTTTTTCATTCATGTGTTTTAATGGAACAGTAGTTTACCCAAAGACAAAAAGAACTAAACAAAGAACATACGGTGTTTTCAGGAAATATGCGCCCCTCCCAATAAATAGTAAAATGCACCATGAACAAAAGTTCTTCATAATTTTCATACATCGTGAGAATTGACAAGAGTACATCTGTTGTGATTAACACAACGAATAGAATCTGCCCAAAGTTGATAAAAGTGTAATTCTTGCTTCTGAAGGTTCATTATTCTAAGTCTGTAATATTTCTAACAAAGCAACTGAGAAAGCTTTTTTAATCCACAAATGAGTTGTTAAATTTTCAAGAAATTTCCAATGTTGACCAATGAATAGTTCTGTTGCCAAAAGTAAACAGACAATCAGTTCCTTATTTTTAACTCAGGCCTTGGATTGTATAAATAAATGCAACAAGCAATTATTGGATGATTGGATGTGTCTTATCAGTTTATTTGCTTGTCTGTCTGACAGTCTTTTCCATGCTATCAAATATGATTTAGTTTCCCTGGCCCACTAATGGCAAGAATGTCAAAGGTATCTTAACGATACTGATTTTAATTTTTGACTTTGATTTTAATTGCACGCTGATATTGTTCCGTTTCATAATTTGCATTTGCTGATTGCTGTAAGCAGCCTTGCGGATTTGCACAGATCGAAGGCTGGGATATTGGGAGTAGCCCAGAGTTGTGTTTTAAGATGGGCAGCCGTACACATCTTTTAAATAAAATAAAGGTAAAGTTAATCATAAAATAAATACAGAGAGAAAGAGAAAAGAAAGGAGGTTAGTTTTTTGAGCTTGAAACATTTTGAATTTGAAATGCTTTGTATACCATTAGAGCAGTGTTTCCCAACCTTGGTAACTTTAAGATGAGTGGACTTCAACTCCCAGAATTCCCCAGCCAGCCATGCTGGCTAGGGAATTCTGGGAGTTGAAGTTCACACATCTTCAAGTGGCCAAGGTTGAGAAACACTGCATTAGAGTCTCAAAATCCTTTGGAGGCTGATCACATTTATTTTATTTGCCTCCAAAGTGAAAAATCATTCTAAGTCCACGTTGTAGATAAAACAGGGAGTCATCCTGGGTGGGGCATCAGAGCTTCAGCCAACGTGGAACATGTAAGGTTGGGGAAGTTTATAAGATAAGATGGCTGGGTCGCACAGGATTCCAAACTAGGCCAAAACAGGGTTAAGGAACTTCTGGTTCAACATCTTGGGGGAACACAGTGATCATCTTAGCACATGGGACATCTTAGCACATGGGACATCACATTAAGCTGTCGAGGGGCTTATTTTTTACAGTGATATGAACATAGGGCTTGTGCTTTGTCAAACTGGGGTTAGCGTTTCATGGGTTGTGTGAACCCAGGCAATCTCTCTCTTGATTTAAAACCCTTGAGGTGTTCTAGCCCACAGCTAGATGTTCTAGCCCACAGATGGCTTCTCCACCAGCCATATTCTCCACGTTCTCCTTTAGCTGAGCTGCACTACTTTCTAGCACCAAGGGGAAATCAGCTCGTCATGCCTTGCTGTTCTCTTGCCTGTGCTCCTTTGTTCCACTGAGGGACATTTGGGCAGAAGTCAAATTTCCATTTTGTTCTCTCCTGACTGCCCTGGCCTTTTCTGCCCCAGCCGCACTGCTGCTTCCTGGTTGGGTTACACTTCTCCACTGGGTTGGACATTCTTCTTCCCAGCAGAGAAGACTGCTCTGGATTTCTTTGCTGGCCTCAGATGGGTTGGCCCATCACCACTTACCCCTGAACCTGAGTTAAGAGAGCACAGTTTTTGTATGCACAATTATGTGTTATGCCCAAACAGGTAAACATGTTACGGCTTCCTTGATGGTCTAGTTCCCACCAGAAGCTAAGACAGTGGTCAGGTTCCTGCAACAGATTGACCCACACAACTACCCAAACCCAATTTGGCCTTGTTTAATGTTATGGGCTCTATCTCACAGGGTTGTTTCAAGGGTGGTTGACATCATGCTTGGGTGGTGCTTCAAAGTGTGAAAAAAGAGTGGTATTGTGCAAACATTTTTTTCCTAAGTTGGGTTTCTCTTTTCTTCTAGTCCTCTTTCCGAAGAAGAATTGGTTTTCCAGTATCCACCTGGCTGGCCCCCAGTTCAGGAACTCCCACCCTCCCTGAGAGCACCCCCTCCCGGTGGCTGGACAATTCCCCCAGGTCTCCACTGGGGCTGAGAGTGGATGGAGCTGAAATGCTGGACAGTTTAATGCTGAGGACTCTCTGTTGCCTCTGGAGAAGATAGAGAATCTAGTTCAATACATGTTTTCAGAAATTCCTGTGTTGCCAGCTAATTTAGAATTTGCAGGATGGATACCGAAGCAGGAGGACATTAAAGGAGGTACCAGGACTGAAACAAACAGTATCATATTTATTTAAATTGTCCCCATTAATTATTTATATCTCCAGGGGCCCTTCCTCAGTCTGCCATGGTGAGCCTAGTGGCAAAGACGCTCTCCGGAATTCAGTTCACAAAGGGGTTGCTTTTGTTGGGCAAGTTTTATCCCCCTGCAACCTCTCTCTCACCGTCTACCCCGGAGTTGTTTAGTTTAAGCATCAGCAAAGGAAGGTTACATATTAATGAGGATTAAGTGTCTAACAGGCACTGGGCACCTGCTAGGACAGATTTGTTATTCATTGTAGGTACGTTCTTACTTAACAACCATTCCTTGAACAACAGTCTGGAGTTATGATGGCCTTGGGAAAAGAGCTTTACGAACCCCGCCATCATATGATCGTGATTTGTGACCTTTTTTACAACGGTTGTTAAGTGAATCACTGCAGTCGTTAAGCGAATCACATTGTTAAGTGAATTCCAGCAAAAAAGTCCATTGGGGAAGCTGGATTCACTTAATGACCACATGATTTGCTTAACAACCATGTGATTCACTTAACAATCATGGTGATTCACTTAACAGCCATCATAAAAAAAGGTAATAAATTCAGCTCTGATTCGCTTAACAACCAAATCGCTTAGCCACCTAAATTCTAGTCCCTATTGTGGTCAGATAGTGAGGACTATCTGTATAAAATTGCCCCAAGCAATTAGTAAATACTGAATGTTTGCTCCTAAGGAAATACAGGGTTAGGTTCCTACGAGACTCTAGTCACAGCATTTTCGTCAACTGATCAATACATAATCTTGTTTTATGTGAGTTTGTGTTTAAAAACACCTTATTTAATGTATATATATTTCTTACAAATAAAGAAAGTCCTGGGGGGGATTTTTAAGCCTTTAAAGTTTTATTTAAAAAACCTTACTTTTGGTGGCCATTTTAACCAGTGAGATCGCTGAGAGAAGGCAGAGATGCTCAGAGCGGTGACTCAAAACTTTTGCTGCTCTGCACATGTCTGCGAATAACCGTGAAAGCGTCATGGGTATTGATTTTGGGGTTACAAATCCATTTTAGCGAGTAAGTGAATTCGCAGATATGGAACCTGTGAATAATGAGGATTGCCTGCAATTGGGGTTAGAGCAAAAAGTTTGTTGTAAATAGGAAGAGCCAGCTTGTCTCGGCCGCCTCCCTTCCAGGTGTTAATTGAAAAATGCAGGTCAATTACAGAACACGCGTGGATTGCCCGCCTTTTGGTTTCTTTTGATGCATCTTCCTTTTTTAAAAAGAAAAAAGTACCATTCCTGCATTCGTGCTGCTGAAGAACCGCTGAGCAGAAGTAAAAGAGAATCACCCCAAATGTCAGGGCTTAACAAGCAAAATAAACAGATGAAAATGGCAAGGTTGTTTCTCTGGCAAGTCGGTCTGTGTTTTAAACTATTGGGTGCAAAAAATGTTTAGAAGTGGAGATGATCCCACCCAAGGGCGTCTTGCAGAGGCGGTCAAAAAAGTCAAGATGGTGGCTGTGATTGCACGATCAATGTCCTGTCCCTCCCTTTTTTAAAATAGGGTAAATACCCAATAGTTGGGTAAAAAAAGATATACGACACATATAAAGGGGTGTGATACAACTAAAAGGGGTGCGTGGCTTCAATTGCATGGTCACAACCATAATCTTGATGTTTTTTACTGCCCCCCCCCCAAAAAAGCCCATGACCTTAGAAAAAGGCCATTCTAATGTACCAGAAATGGACTGACTTCCATGAAGGTCCTGCCAATTTCCGTTGGAGATCCAAAAATTTCTAGCACATTTCTAGAAATGTTTTGCTCACCTCAATTTTAAAACAGTATAGTTTGAGAGAACCTGTTGCTACCTGCCAGCCTTAGCAGGTAGACCAGACAAGAAACACAACCAGATAAGCTAATTCCACTTTATTGTAAAGCTACATGAACAGAATCTTGCAAGTCTGAAAGGACAATTCTTCCCCCTCTCCTTTACAGCCTGAGAAACTAGGGAGGGTCCCTTTTGAGCTTCTTGCCCCGTCCACTATCGAGCTGTGGGCTATGCTGCCTCTTATCGGACCACTCCCTTGGCAGCGTCTCTTTGTCCCGTCTCCCAAGGTCTTTCCCACATTCCATTACACTACCCATCTAACATTGTACTACCCCAAATGTTTGTGTTTCAAGCGAATAAAAATGGCTGGGTTCTTGGTGTAGATGAACTCAACAGCTGTGCAGTCTGGCTGAATTCTCCTGGGAGTGCCATCCAGGTCTAGGGTACAGATGAAATCTCAAATGCCACCACTCTCCATCCTTCTAGTGACCTTCCTGAAGTTGGCTAGTGGATGACACAAACTATGTTCAAGAAAAACCCTTGTTTTGATCAGGGTTCTTCTCCTCCTCCCATTCTTAAATGGAATTTGCAGGTCCCTCTTACTGACCTACTTGCAGATCTGTAAGATGTCGCACATGCCTTCTGTTCTGTTGTAATTCTGGCTCTTGATTGCAATATGGTTGAGCAACTCACAAAATTGGCTTAAACCCTGGAGTTAACAAAATGCGTTTACTGCGTTCCCATCGTGTGCTGCCATATGTGCAAAAGAATCAGACCGCCTTATGGCTTAACACGATGGCCTCGTTCTCACAGTACCCTGAACCACAAACTACCAGTCCTGTTTCAGCCTAAACTAGGGGCAAACCTGGGAACGGGGAAAGGAGCTTGGGAAAGACAATTTAGCATGCTAGTAGTAGGTGTTGTTTATGTGTTCTAGGTATTCCCTAAGCGAAGGATCTTTTGGCCCGGCTCACACATCATACTCAGCCTTTTCTTTAATGATGAGTTCTTGAAGAAGTCATGAATAGCTTAGCAAGCCTACAAACCATAATTAGGATTCATGCATAAGCCATAATGTTCTTTGGTTCTGGACTTAGCATGTTGGGTGAGCCTAATATTGTGGTTGATAAATCATGGTTTATCACAGCCTGTTGTGCAAACCCAGTCATTCATGGCTTAGTTGACAAACGGTGGCTTAGTTCAACCTGATTTGGTGCAATTTGGAACCCCCCATAGCCTTTTCCATTTGCGAAGGGGCACGAAACCTCCTCGCAGCTTGGGGGCCAGTAGAGCTGCTTTGAAATCAACGTGGCTATTTATGATCAAGAATGAATGAGGAAACGCCAACGGGGATGAAAGCTTTGTTAGGCACGTCGGAAAAGATTAGCTCGCCGACTGGAGATCTTTTTAATAGACGAGCAAAGAACTGCAAAGCCATCTGAGTAAACGAAGAACAGGCCAATTTTGAACAGCGTTCGAGAGACCCGCTAATGCTGCAAGTTTGCCCCAGTGAGTGAGTTTTTTTCCCACTCCCCCCATTTCCATGCTGATTGCTATTTATTACTCAGGCTAATAGCAGACTCAGCCAGCGAATGCCGACAGCGATGGAGCGAGAATGATCCCCCTTTGAGAAACAGGAGGACCCTTTATCGTGATTGGAGGAATGCCATGCTTTGCAGAAGGAGCCAGGGGAGGGAGCTTTCACGGGAGAGGTCAGACAAGGAACCTCTCTCCTGGTAACCCGGGGAAGACCGACGTTTGCTTAGTAACCACAGAACATTGACAGAAAATAGAAAACTGGAAAATAGTTCTGGGAAAGGGTATACACGGAAACCCTCTTTCCTTCCCTGAAACCGTGAACGCCAGGACAGATCCATGGATAATTGATCAAAAGCTGTATTTTCCAAAAAGTTGGGATGTCTAGAGAGCAGAGGCTGGCCATATTTCTGCAGGGAGAGTGTCCTAAGTTCAGGGGCATTGCCAAAGAGGAATTCACTGAAGAGGAAGAGGTGACTCAACAGAAGAGCAGAGAGCAGAGCATGGAAGGAAGGCGTAGGAGACTGGGCAGAGGAGACAATACTGGAAGCAGTGTTTCTCAATCTTAGCAACTTTAAGCTGTGTGGACTTCGACTCCCAGAATTCCCCAGCCAGCATGCTGGCTGGGGAATTCTGGGAGTCAAAGTCCACGCAGCTTAGTTGCCAAGTGTCAGGTTCAGCCCAAAGAACTCCAAGAGACAATGCAAATACAGTTCTGTTGTATTTATTAGCTCCCACCTCAAGACAGAATCTCC